CCCTCCAAATTCTCCCCGCCAGCAGCACTCGGGGGAAGCAGCCCCGTTTAAGCACAAACAACGGCAGACACGCAAAGCAGAAGGAAGAGGAGGGAACAGAAGGCCCCGCGCCGAGATCTGACAGCCCTGACAAGCCAGAAACCCGCGTTTATCGTCTTTTTGGGCTCTAACGCCATTTGGGGTTTGGCAGCTCTGCCACCCTCCTCCCCCACTGCAGGAGAGAGACAGGAGATAAACCCCCACACGGTATTTGGGACACTTGGTCTGTTCTCAGCAGGTAAATAAATACATTAAAATGAAGATCTGGGGTTTGTTTTGTGTTTTTTTTGATGGTTGGTTGTGCCTCATCCTGTACACGGGCTCTGATCCAGGGGTCCCTCCAGTCTCCATTACACAGTACCAGGGATTCAGCTCCTCTTCCGAGCACATTATCAGGGCCTCGTCTCAAAGTTCAGCTCTGTGTTTTCCTGCCCTCATCCCTGTGCCCTCATTTCCCCTGGAAAAATCCTGACCCCATCCCTGTGCCCTCAGCCTACCCAGTGTTGACATGAGCCACTTAAAAGCCCCAAACCCGCCCCATGTCCCCACCCCGCGGCCGGGCAGTCGCTCCCCACCAGGGAGCAGCACAGACTCACTCACCTCTGTGTAGGAGCTTCAAAACGTCCTCTGGAATTCCGTCGGGGAGAGCACCCGCTCCAACCTTCCCGCACATGGGGCTGGGCTGTACCTCACTGCTCCTCCGTGGGCTCAGTGCGGCTCAGGTGCAGTCGAAGTGCCCGGTGGGACACAGGAAAGCTCCCTAAACCGAGGGCTTCTTCTTAATCCAGTGACCAGGACTCCTTTGAGCCCCTTAGAAAAACCACTTCCCCCCCAGCTTTTTCCATCCTTGGAAAGCTGGGCCGCTCCAGATGCTCCAGGTGCGGAGTTAAACCTGAAAGCAAAACCTGGGAACCAAAAGGCTCAGGATCAGGGGTACAGAGAAAGCCAGGACTGAGCACAGACCAGGCCAGAGCCACGAGTGTCACAGCCAGGCTGTGAAATCCCTGGCACCCACTAGGGTGACAGTTCTGGAACAGGGCATTGGTGCTGAGAAATTGGGTGCCTGCTCACCCCCAGCTGCAGCCCTGGCTCTGCTGAGGGCAGCACAAGCACCTGTGGGTGTGCTTAGGGGTAGGATTTGGGGTACAGTACAGCAACTTTGGACCCAATCCACCTAAAAAAAAATAAAATAAAAAAAAAAAGACAACCAACAAAATCATCTCTCCCAAGAGGAGAAAAAATAAAACAAACAACACAGCTCTGGCTGTGGGCAGGAGGTAACCTTGGTGCTCTATCCCAACACAGACGCGACACAGAAACAAAAAACAATTCTTGCCCACAAACGGCACTTTGGAGGAGGTCCAGCTGACTTATCCCAGCACCAACACAGGTTCCTGACTCTCCCCCTCTGACGCTGCAGGATGCAGCACACAAGTCACCATTCAGCAGCACAAGCCATCTCCCAGAAACCCTTCCCAAAACCAGGCTCGGGCCAGTCATGTGGTAACAAGGGCCGTTTGTTGGGGTGTCACAGCCCTGGGGAGGTGGCTCTGAACCCTCTGAACAAAAACACCCGACAGCTGACAACTGCTGAGGTGTCAAAACAAAGCTCTGATTGTCCGGCTAGGACAATGCTGCGCTCTGGGGAGCAAGGAAATGTGCTGCTCCAGACCTTCCCACCGGGGTGAGGATTCCCACTGCGGCCCTCGGATGGTTTTTGTCCCTTAGGAAACAACTCTCGGGAGTAACAGCACTGTGCAGCTTTATTGAGTCACTCAGTTACAGCAGTATTTTAGCAGACTGGGACAGAGTCAGATATTTTTTTTTTTTCTTGAAGTGTAACAGATATTCAGCATGGAACAGTTACTACAGATTCCTTTCACAAAGGTCTTAAGCTGATACAGTACTCGCCATCAACCCAGGAGCGAGACCACTGGCGTAGAAAAGGATGCAACAAGAAGAAAAGCTACACTGGAAAGACAACACTTTTAGAAAAGTGACACATGGAAGGTTCTCCCCTCTAGCCCCCAAAGCAAGTGTACAGTTTGGATCTAATTTTACAGTTCTACATCAGTTTCTAGAAACTTAAAAAAAAAAAATATATATATAACCAAACCAAGAACCAAAGATAAAACCACTGGCCAGTACAGTCTTTGGATATTTAGAGGAGGGGGAGAGTCAGTTTCCAGAATGAGATCAGTCGGTTTCGGCCTCACCGGGGTCTTTGCCTTCTTTGTTCTTTCGAACCTCTTCCACGTGCTTGTCCTGAAAGACAGCAGCAGGCAGCAGTTAGATCCCAGGAAGGGCAGGGATCCTGGGAAAGGCACGGAGCTTCTCGTCCCCAGCTCACAGCAGGAACCCTGACGTGGCTCACCCAGGGGGTACAGGGTGGAGCTTTAGGGGAGAAAGCAAAACACTGCCCTAACTCACTCCCACCCATCCCACCCCAAAAAAAAGAGCTGCGTTTCTGCAAAGCCTTCTGCAGGTTTAAGAACCTCTGAAGGTCACAGCGCTGCCAAGGACATCCATCCTATGTGCAAGCACCCCCTTCACGTGGCCGTTCCTTCGGGGTTTTCAGCCAGTTTTCCCAGCAGGGAGAAGGGATAACTCCCCTCTTTCCAAGGGCCCCACACACACACACCCACCTTCTCCCGCAAGCGCTCCAGCTTGGCAGCCATTTGTGCCTCACGGTTCTCCTTGTTGGCTTCCATTTTGTGGGTCAGCTTCTCCTCTGCCATTTTGCTGAAGTTGTTGTTCTCCTCGATGGCTTTCTGCAGCACCTCCTTCTCGTGCTCCCGCTTCTCCGCCAGCTGCTTCAACACTTCTGCTTCGTGGGACTGGCAAAGCAGAGGGTGCAGGCGTTGAGGAACCACACACACAGGCAGCCAAAGTCGCTCCCAGCTCCTCAGAGGACACGTTTTCTACCCTTTTTTTT